TTTGAAATGTATGTTTTAAATTGTATATTTAAAATCCTCTCAATCTATTTTCAAGTTTCAGTGTATTTGCAAATGTCTGTCTTATTAATTCCTATTAGTTTTTTTTGTTTTTGTTTTCTTTTGTTTTAGTTTAGCTTTATTTTATGGGGCTTGAACTCAGGCCTAAACTCTACCACTTTGAGCCACAGCTCCGCTTTCAGTTTTCTGGTGGTTAATTGGGGATAAGAGTCTTATGGACTTCCCTGCCTGGTCTGGCTTTGAACCATGTTCCTCAGATCTCAGCCCCCTAAGCAGCTGGGACTAGAGGTGTGAGCCACCTGGCACCCAGCTAGAAGTTTATTTTTAAGAAACTGAAGTGCAGGCCGGGTACTCATGCTTATAATCTTAGCTGCACAGAAGGCTGAGATCTGAGGATTCTGATTTGAAACAGAAAAGTTTGTGAGGTTCTTATCTCCAGTTAACCAAGAAGAGGTGTAGCTCACTTGGAAGAGCACCAACCTTGAGTAAAAAAGCCAAACAAAGCTGAACTTGTGACTTTCCAGAAAACTGGAAGTGGCACTGTGGCTCAAAGTGGTGGAGCACTAGCCTTGAGCAAAAAGAGCTCAGGAACAGTGCCCAGGCCCAGAGTTCAAGCCCCATGACTGACCAGAAAAACAAACAAACAAGCAAGCCAAACAAGATTGAGAGGCCCTGAATCTAAGCCAAGTACTAGAGAGAGACAGAGAAAGAGGAAAATGATAGATGGGAAAGAGAGAGGGAGGGAGGAAAAGGATGGATGGAGGGAAGGAAGAAAAAAAAGAAAAAAGGAAATTAAATGAAATGTGAGTGTTCAAAGATGACTGAGCTTTTTATAGTCAGCCACTGGGTGATTCATCTGTCCAGTCTGCTTCCAAAACTAGCTCCGCCTTTTCCTTTCCTAGGATGTCACACCACCTCTTACCACTTGTCTCCTTTCCTTGCCTAGTGCATTCATTGGCTGTTCTTTGCTCACATTAAACCTTCATCTTTCAGCACAAAATCTGCATTTTTGGCTGGACTAATATTTTAAATAAGACATTATCTTCCTTAAAGCAGGCCAAGGCTTTTTTTGTTTGTGTTTTGCTTCATTTTGTGGAACTGGCGATTGAACCTAGGGCTTTGAGCTTGCTAGAAAAGTATCTCTTGACCCATGGCCTCAGTCCCTTTGTTCATATTTTGGTTTTGAGATAGGGTCTCTACTTTTTCTCCCAGGCTGGCCTTGAACTTGGGATCCTGCCTTCACTTTTTGAGTATCTGGAATTACAGGTATGAACTAGCTCTTAAATAAGTCTTGAAAATGATTGAGGTGAGATTTCCACTGCCTTTCTTCAGTTCTATTTTTTTTTTTTTCTGTCTTTTATTTCTGGTGCTAGTATTAAGAGCTTGAATGTAAGGCTTGGTATGTTGATCCTTAGTTTTGCTTTTGTTTTTGTTTTTTGGGTTTTCTTTTGGTCCTAGAGCTTGAACTCAGGGCTGAGGCACTGTCCTTGAACTTTTTTGCCCATAGGACCACTTCTAGTTTTCTGGAGGTAAATAGGAGATAAGAGTCTCATAGACTTTCCTGCCTGGACTAGCTTCAAACCTCAATCCTCAGGTTCTCAGCCTGTTGAGTAGGTAGGATTACAGGCATGAGCCACCAGTGCCCAGCTCAAGGCTGGCTCTTTGTCACTTGAATCACAGCTCCACTTTTGCCTTATTTCTGATTAATTGGAGATAAGAATCTCATAGACTTTTCCTGCCTAAACTGGCTTTGAACCACAATCCTCACATCTCAGCCTACTGAGTAATTAGGATTACATTTGTGATTTACAGATATCTGGCCAGTTACCTTACTTTTGGAGTTTGATATGAACCTTTTGATCATCAATAGTAAAGCCACCTGAGAAAGGTACCAGTTTGAGCTCGTGTAGTTGCATGCAAGTCTCTGTTTCAGTTTGAATTGATTTTGTACAGGATGAGAAAGAGACTAGTTTCAATCTTATACATGAGAATATCTCATTTTCCTATGCTGACGAGGCTGACATTTCTCCAAACTTGTATTTTTGGCACGTTTTGTCAGTGATCTGATGGCCTAAGCTATGTGAGTTTAATCTGCATTTCTGTTTCTGTGCCAGTACCATGCTGTTTTTGTTACTGTGGCTCTGTTGTATACTTTGAAGACTAATATTGTTTCTTCTCTATCTTTTCCTCAAGATTGCATAAATTGTTTATAGTCTTTGTTGCATCTACATAAATTTTATATTTTTTTCTATTTCTATGAAGAATGACATTGGAATTTTTTTTGCATTGAAACTATAGACTTTTTGGCAATGTAGCCACTTTCATGATATTAATTATTTTATCCAAGGAGTATGGGAGATTTTTTTCATTTTCTAATATCGTCCTCAATATTTTTCTTCAGTGTTTTATAGTTCTTATTGCAGAGGTTTTCACCTTCTTAGTTAAGTTTATCCTTTTATGCTTTTTGTTTTTTGAAGCTGATTATTTTCTGAAATATTTTTCACACCTGATTTGTTTATTAGTAATTGATAAGTGGCAAAGCTACATATGTGTGTGCATGTGTGAGCATGTGCGCTGATCCTGGAGCTTGAACTCTGGGCCTGGTTGCTGCCCCAAGCTTTTTTGCTCAAGGCTAATGCTCTCCAACTTGAACCACAGCTCCATGTCTGACCTTTTGACTTGCCTGTTCAGACTGATTTCAAATCTCAATTCTCAGATCTCAGTTTCTTGAGTAGCTAGGATTATTTATAGGCATGAGCTACAAGTGCCCAACTAAGATTTTTTTATTGTAAATTTAGTGTACAGAGGGGTTACAATTATATAAGTAATGAGTACATTTAAAAATATTAAAAAATTTGTTATAAAGATACAGTACAGAGAGGTTACAGTTACGTGAATAAGGTAATAAGTACATTTCCTATCAAGCATTGTTACCCCCTCCTTCGTTTTTCCTCTACTATCCCTTCATTCTCTATCTCCCTATCTCCTCCCTTCCTCCATACTAAGTTGTAAAGTTCCTTGTAAACAGAGTCTTGTATGTCTCATTGTTACCATGGGTCAACCTGTATCTTTGTTTCAGCATTTTGTTATTCCCTTCCCCCCAGCTAAGATTTTTGAATGTTATTTTGTATCTTTTTTTTCTAATTTTAAACATTTGGTTTAAGTGTTTTTTTTTTTTAAATATGTAAACCTTTGCTGTCATTTTGATTTTGTTTGAGATGAATTTTTGAAAGTAGAATTATGACAAAAGGTAAAGGTATCTTTTACAGTTTCTGTTATTTTTATTTTTTTATTTTATTTTTTTGGGTCCAGTTGTGGGGCCTGAACTCTGGGCCTGGGCGCTGTCCCTCAGCTCTTCAGCTCAAGGCCAGCGCTCTACCACTTGAGCCATGGCACCACTTCTGGCTTTTTTCTTATGTGGTGCTGAGGAATCGAACCCAGGGCCTCAGGCATGCAAGGCAAGCGCTCTACCACTGAGCCATCTTCCTAGCCCCTACAGTTTCTGTTAAAGTTGCCATTTTCCCACCAGAAAGGGTTAGCACATCACAGATGATACAAGAGAAAGGAATCTGAGGATAATTTAGGCTCTGTCAAGACAGTCTCCCTAAATTGTGGCTACTTTTGATATAGGGAACCTGTTTCACATTGCTTTAATGTTTCTTTGTCTTCAATTTGTTGTTGTTGTTGGTCATGGGGCTTGAACTCTGGGTCTGGGTGCTGTCCCTCAGCACTTCAGCTCAAGGCAAGTGCTCTACCACTTGAGCCACAGCACCACTTCTGGTTTTCTGGTTACGTGGTCAGTGTTGTCTAGACAAGTCTTAAGGTCAGTGCCAGCAGCCCAGAGGCTTCAGTCTACCTTCTGTGAAGCAGCCCACTTTGCTTCCTATCTTATCTAACTGAATTATCTTCAAAACACTACTTTGGCTGGCTCAGTGGTAAATGTTAACACTTGAATACCTTTAAATTAATCAAACATTTACTATTCCACCAGGTACTGGTGACCTAGACCTATAATCCTAGTTCCTCAAGGTTTAAGGTTTGTGGTTCAAAGCCTGCATGGCCCAGAAAGTCCATGAGAATTTATCTCTTAACCAGCAAAAAACTGGAAATGGAGGTATGATTCAAGTTAGTGGAATACCAGCCTTGAATCAAAAATCTAAGGAACAGCACCCAGACTCTGAGTTCAAGCCCAGTAATGGTACTCACAAACTATACATTATATAGTTTATAGCTACAGAACTTCCTTATTACTTGACTGGGTTCACATATTTGTGTTTTCTGCCTGATTCTTTTTTTTATGGAAACATTTTATAATTTATATATAAAAATCCCAGTACAAAATCATGTAAAATGACAGGAATGAAGTCTGGGCTTGGGCGCTGTCCCTGCGCTCTTCAGCTCAAGGCACGCTCTCTACCACTTGAGGCACAGCGCCACTTGCGGTTATTGGAGATAAGAGTCTCATGGACTTTCCTGCCCAGGCTGGCTTTGAACTGCGATCCTCAGATCTCAGCCTCTTGAGTAGCTAGGATTATAGGTATGAGCCAGCAGCACCTGGCTTCCACTAGTATTTTTCTGTCTTTTGGTGCTGATCCTTCACTAGGGCACTGGTCCTTCATTTTTTTGTTCAAGGCTAGCATTCTACCATTTGAGCTACAGCTCTACTTTCAGATATTTTGGTGGTTGATTGGAGAGAAGAGTCACAGAAGTTCATGGCTGGGTTGACTTTGAATTGTGATCCTCAGATCTCAGCCTCCTGAATAGCTAGGATTATAGGTATGAACCACTGTGCCCAGCTCAAAATTAATCTTTTTTTTTTTTGCTTTGTGAATAATGCTTTTTTCTTTGATTATTAGATTTTTATTTAAATCTAATGTAGAATTTTTACAAGTAGAGTTAAGCATTTCCAGAGCTTGTTACATGGAATAGGAAAGTTTTTCCCTCCTATTAAATAATTTGTTTTTAATGTGTCCTTTCAGTGTCTATTACTATGGCAATGATGGCAGGGACTACAGCCTCCTTTCCTATGAGCAACCATACCCGGGAAAGAGTGACTGTGGCCAAGCTTACACTGGAAAATTTTTATAGCAACCTGATTGTTCAGCATGAAGAGAGAGAAACCAGGTATATAAAATTCTGGTCACATTTTTGTGAAATAAACTAGGCTGGACATATTAGTGAACCTCTGTAAGGCTATAGGAGGAGAATTGTGAGTTTGGGGACTACATGATGAAACTAAGAAAGAGGGGGTGAAGGAAAGGAGGGAGAGAAGAAGGGAGGAAAATGGAAGGTAAGAAGGAAAAAAGGAAATAAACAAGGTAGCAAACTTGCTGTGATTGGACAGTAAGCATATCTTTCACAAACAATCTGGATGTTATAGATAATTACCTGCTGACTTAATTTTTCTGCCCTGATACTGTATCTAGTTAGATTTTTACAAAATAATTTTCTGGGAATCCAATGCTCTGCATGTCAGCTCAAAAATAGTGGTATATCTTTTGCATTTTCTTTTAGAATGCTGCTTTATCACAACTGTCTTTAATTTCTAGTATTTTCTTACACTTATAGTGTTGTATATGTATCTATGGGGACGGAATAATGTTAATTTTTTTTAAATTCGGGGCCTAGCTTTTTCATTCAAGGCTAGCCCTCTACCACTTGAGTCACAGTTCCACCTTCAGCTTTTTGATGTTTAATTGGAGATAAGATTCTCACAGGTTTTTATGCCCAGGCTGGCTTTGAACTGCAACCCTCAGATCTCCTAAGACACAGATGTGAACCACCATGCCCAGCTCTCTTTTGTTACTTGATCTGCTTACTTAACCAAGTTGGAGTACCATTTAAAAAGTTGAAAGCGGGGTTGGGAAGGTTGCTCAATGGTAGAGTGCTTGCCTTGCATGCAAGAGGCCCTGGGTTCGATTCCTCAACACCACCTAAACAGAAAAAGCCAGAAGTGGGCACTGGCTTAAGTGGTAGAGTGCGAGCCTTGAGCTGAAGAGCTGAGGGGCAGCACTCAGGCCCAGACTTCAAGCTCCATGACCAGCAAAAAAAAAAAAAAAAGGTAGAAAGCTAGATAGGCACTTAGCCTATATTATGCCTATAATTCTAGCCACTGAAGAGCTGAGGGGCAGCACTCAGGCCCAGACTTCAAGCTCCATGACCAGCAAAAAAAAAAAAAAAGTAGAAAGCTAGATAGGCAGTTAGCATATATTATGCCTATAATTCTAGCTACTGGGGAGGCTGAGATTGTGAGGATCGTAGTTTGGGGCTACCCTGAGCAGAAACATTCACAAGCCTTCTCCTCAATTGAATACTAGATATGATTGTTCAATGGAAGCCTAACATAGGCACATCATACCCAAGGGTGCACCTGAGCAGGAAGCAAGAACTCAGCTAAAAAATAACCAATAGAAAACAAGTCTGGACATATGTCTCAGCAGTGAGAGCCTGTATTTAATAAGCATGAGGCTTAGAGTTCTAATCCTAATACTGAAAAAGAATTTTTTTTTTGGGGTCCGGTTGTGGGGCCTGAACTCTGGGCCTGGGCACTGTCCCTCAGCTCTTCAGTTCAAGGCTAGCACTCTACTACTTGAGCCACAGCGCCACTTCCGGCTTTTTTCTTTTTGCTTATGTGGTGCTGAGTATTGGAACCCAGGGCCTCATGCATGCAAAGCAAGCACTCTACCACTGAGCCACCTTCCCAGCCCCTGAAAAAGAATACTTTAAATTAAAAAATAATACCTGAAATTGGCTGTATCTTGAAAAGCAAATGTGATAGAGAGTTATATGCATAAAGGACCTCCCAGTTTCCAAAGAATTCTAATGAAATTAAATATACTTGTTGCACTGAACATCTATCCTTGAGTAGGAAAATTAAGCTTCAAGTAAATGATTTACATTTTACCAATAAGTGTTAGAATTAAGATTCAGATACAAGAAAGGATAAGCATCTTAAAATGTATGCTTTCAACATTATTACCTTCCTCTACTAGTATAAGCATGAAGAAATAATATTTTAGGTAGCCAGAACATTAGATAATAATTCTCTATTAGAATATTAGTCATCTTTATTAACTAACAGTTCGTTACAGGAAAGGAAAGGAAGCTTTAGCAATAATGATTTGAGCTAAAGATGTAGGTCAGTAGTAGAGCACCTCTCTAGCATATGTAAGGACCTAAATTTGTCCCCCAGCACTGGAAAAAAATAAACTAAAAAGCTTTATAGTGGCTCACACCTGTAATCCTAGCTATTTGGAAGGCTGAGATCTGAGGATCCCAGTTCAAAGCTAGTCTAAGAAGTCTAAGACATTCTTATCTTTAATTAGGCAGCAAAAAGTCAGAAGTGGAACTGTGGCTCGAGTGGTGACTAGCATTGTGAAAAGGCTCAGGGACAGTGCCCAGGCTCTGAATTTAAGCCCAGTACTAACAACAACTTTGGCCAGTATGAAAAACAAAGTATACATATATATATAATTTATATATATATATATATTTGGTAGTTATGGTGGTGGTCATGGTCATGGTTATGGTGCTCATGGGGCTTGAACTCAAGGCCTGAGTACTATCCCTGAGCTCTTTCACTGAAGGCTAGCATTCTACCATTTTGAGCCATAGTTCCAGTTGCAGTTTTTAAGTGATTAATTGGATATATGAGTCTCATAGGGACTTTTTCTGCCCACGCTGTTTTCAAACCAAATCTTGATCCTAGGATCCAGTCTCCTGAGTAGCTAGGATTATAGGCATGAGGCCAACACTTATATCTTGAGAGTTCTTTGTAAACACCTGAATCTTGATTCAATGTGGAAGTTTCTTTTTAGCCTAGCATTCAGAGTGGTTAACTTAAATAAATATATTTCTTAAATAGAAATAAGAATACATGTAAAATTTTAACTGTCTTGTCTTTTGAAAAGGCAGAAGAAATTAGAAGTGGCCATGGAAGAAGAAGGATTAGCAGATGAAGAGGTAAAGTGATCTATAGTAACTGTACAAAAATTAATCCCAGTGATTTTATCAATGTCAACTGGTTTTATAACGTAATACTTCTATAACTTTTAAACTTTTTTATAACAAATGATTTCACCATTTGACTATGGGCTTGTTTGTTGCAATTCTAGCCACCTTTATAAGGAGGCAGAATTTTTTTTTAATTCCAACAATATTTGGTGAACATAATTTACGGTATTCTAGATGAATAGAACAAAAATTTTAGGTCCCTGAGAGTTAGTCTATAGTTCAACTCTTCTCAAAATTTTTTATAAGGCCAAGTGCTGGTGGCTCACACTTGTAATCATAGCTACTCATGAGGCTGAGATCTGAGGATTACAAAAGTGGAGATGTGTATTAAGTGGTAGAGCACTAGCTTTGAGTGAAAAAGCCAAGTGAGAACATGAAGCCCTAATTTAAGTCCTAAGATTGGCACAGACAAACAAAATCATTTATAAATATTTTTTTAAACCTTCTTTCTTGTGGGTGGGGACAGTGGGAGAGAGTAAGACAAGGGGTGACATTGTCCAAAAAGAGATATGCTCTTTATCTGATGTATGTAACTATAATCCCTCTGTATATCCTTTATAATAACAATTTTGTCGGTTGTGGGGCTTGAACTCTGGGCCTGGGTGCTGTCCCTGCACTCTTCAGCTCAAGGCAAGCGCTCTACCACTTGAGCCACATGCCACTTCCAGTTTTCTAGTGGTTTCTTAGAGATAAGAATCTCATGGACTTTTCTGCCTGCGCTGGCTTTGAACTGTGATCCTCAGATCTCAGTCTCCTTAGTAGCTATGATTATAGGCATGCGCCACCGGTGCCCGCTAAAAATTCTTTTAAAAAACACAAAAAAATTCTTTCTGCAGTCCAGCCTTACTATCCTAATTTCAGCTACTGTACATTTCACCTACAGAATGACTGACCTGAAAGTCTATTTTCTGCCCATTTTTTTTTCCTTCACATTATAATCAGAATGATCATTTGTTTCCAGAGTTGCTCAGTTTCCTTCTTTGCCTTCTGAAGGTAAGGGCAAACTCCTGCACACCCATGTGTAGAACTCTTTACCCTTTATTTTCTCTCTTTCTAACTTCATTTCTGGCCACCCTCTGCCTTCCACAATGGCCAATATGGAATTGCCAGAGCTTTTAGATCTTACTTTGCATCTCCTTTCCACTGGGAAATGTTTTCTGATTGCTCAGTTATTTGTCCTACCCTCTATCCTAATTGTGCTTCTCTCCCAAGGCAGCCTTAAAATTCAGCTTCCCATAGAGGGAGACATTAATGACCTCCTATTTTTGATGCTACATCACAAAACAAATCAACATATGGATTTTATTATTGTTAAGTACTAAATATCTGCATCTTCACAGAGACTAAATTATTTTGTAATTTAAAACTTCTTAAAATAAGGACCCTTGGTGACTATTGTGGGTAGGGTCTAAGATTAGTTTTATACAGAGTTTTGCCTTTCCATCTAATGAGTCCAGTACCTGTGTTATACAAGTTTTAACTCTGGACCTTTGTTGCATACACACTTGATAAGTTCATTTAAGCTTAAATTTGTTTCAGTGATTTCCCTTAAAAGAAGAAAAAGTGTGAGTAGCATTATCTTTTTGAAGTATTATAGCATTATATTGTCAAAGTACTAGTCATCAGAAGTTTTAGATATTGGCCAGTAATCTTGTATTATTTGCTAGCTACATGGAGCAGTGGGAGATCTTTTACATTTGAATGTAAGTTCGTTTAGATTTTAATTCCATCTCTGTGATATTAGGCAAATTAATAATAACCCAGTGAAAGAGAAAATTATTTTACAGCTGATTGTGAGCATTTTAAGAAATAAGTTAAAATGTCTAATCTTAGTGGACATTCCATTCATTCATATCCATCTTCCTTTCCTTCCTCTCTCCCTTCCCCTCTCCTTTCCTTCCTTCCTTCCTTCCTTCCTTCCTTCCTTCCTTCCTTCCTTCCTTCCTTCCTTTCTTCTCTCTCTCCCTCCCTCCCTTCTTTCATTCTCTCTCTCCCCTCCCCCTTCCCTCTATCCTTCCTTCCTTATACTGATTTTAAGCTCAAGCTATAGTGCACAATAAAGATGAAATAAAATGTGCATCATATTTTAATCTCTAAAGCTAAAAAGGGAAATTTTGTAAGGTCTCATTCAGTAAATCAGATGATTGTGTGTGCAGGTATGTAAATATGTATATATGTTATAGTTCTGGAGGGATAGTTCAGGATACAGATCTTGCCTATTATGTTTAAGGTGCTAGGTTTCATCCCTAGCATGACCAAAAATTAAGAAAAAATGCAATAATAAATATTTATACACTATAAGATATGGCAGTCTTTAGTAAAATCAGATGCTGAGAGCTGGTGGCTCACACTGTAATTCTAATTACTATGGAGGCTGAGATATAAGGATTGACTTGTTTTCTTGTTTTTTTTTTTTTTATTGTGTTTTTTTGGTCATCATGTGGCTTGAACTCTGGGCCTGAGTGCTGTCCCTCTGCTCTTCAGCTTAAGACTAGCAGCACTCTACCACTTGAGCCACAGTGCCACTTCCAGTTTTCTGGTGGTTTATTGGAGATAAGCGTCTCACAGACGTTCCTGCCTGGGCTGGCTTTGAATGGAGATCCTCAGATCTCAGCCTCCTGAGTAGCTAGAATTACAGGCATGAGAAACCACTACCGAGCGAGGATTGTGATTTGAAGCCAGCTTGAGCAGACAGATCTGTGAGGCGTGTCTGTGTGTGTGTGTGTGTGTGTGTGTGTGAGAGAGAGAGAGAGAGAGATGGGGCTTGAACTGAGGCGTGTGTGTGTGTGTGTGTGTGTGTGTGTGTGTCCCTAAACTCTTTTGCTCAAAGTTAGCACTCTACTGCATAAACCACAGCACCAGCTTAGAGAGTCTTATCTCCAATTAATCAGCAAAATGTCAGAAGTGAGCCTGGTGCTAGTGGCTCATGCCTGTTATACCAGCTGCTTAGGAGGCTGAGATCTGAGGATTGTAGTCCAAAGCCAAACTGGGGCAAGAAAGTTTGTGAGACAATTAACTACTCCAATTAACTTCTAAAAGAGCCAGAAGTGGACCTGTGGCTCAAGTGGTAGAGCATTAGCCTTGAACAGGCCCTGAATTCAAGCCCTAGGAACATCCTCCCCCCCCCCCCAAAAAAAAAAGCCAGAAATGAAGGTATGGTTCAAGTGGTGGAGTAACCACCTGGAGTGAAAAAGCCTAGGGATAGCATGAGGCCCTGAGTTCAAGCCTCAGTATTGGCACAAAAAAGACAAACAGATATCCCTGCAGATTACCCATCATCGGAAAAATAATGTTTCATGAAAGAAATATTAGTTGATTTTGATGCGCAAAGATCTTCCATCTTCTGCAGGGTATTACAATTTGAATCTTAAAGGATGGGAAAATTTTGTATTATAGACAAGTAAAAGACAAAATTATATGTATATATAAATATATGTGAACATGTCACATAAGTTGATAGCACTAGTGGAAAGCTACTCTTAGAATAACTAACTAAGAAAGGTAGACTATTTGCTAGATGACTGGGAATCACAACCTAGTTGATGAATAGCCTCCCTGACTAGCTAGGGTTATAGGTGTGAGCCACCAGCACCTGGCTCATTGGTGTTCTTTAATTTGAATTTGCTTCAGACACCTGAGCTGCAAAGTATACTACAAAAAACAAAAATCTTGAGATCAAATTTGTTTTTGAAGTTATATAATATTACAGGTAATTAATTCCCATTATGGTATTACATGATCCATACAATGATGATTCTTCCTTTTTGGTATAAGTTGTATTCAAAACTATGTAAGCATTATTAATGGCCACATTATATAAGTTGTCAGATATTCCAATGAACATCATCTCATCATTGATTTGGTTGATTCCTGTCTAGATTTTTAGTACATGTTATGAAACTGTACAACTGGCTAGACTTTTTTTTTTTTTTTTTTTGTCTTTTGTAGGCCTGGGTGCTGTCCCTTTGAGGAATCGAACCCAGGGCCTCATGCATGCAAGGCAAGCACTCTACTGCTGAGCCACCTTCCCAGCCCTATGGCTAGACTTTTTAAATTAAACAAGTTTCTGCACCTATACTAACTGAACTCTGTGTTTTGGTGCTGGTATTGGGGCTTGAACTCAGGATGTTCTGATCTTGGCTTTTTCACTCAAGGCTAGCATGCTGCCTTGAGCCACACCTTTACTCCTTGCCTTTTATGGTTAATTGGAAGTAAGTCTCACGGACTTTCCTGCCTAGAATGGCTTTGAATTGTGATTCCTAGATCTCACCCTTCCAAGTAACTAAAGATTACTTACACGCAATAGGTTAGCGCAATAGGTTAGCGCGGTACTTATAAGATTACTTACACGTGGGAGCCCCTAGGCCAGGCCTGTACTTTGTTATGTCAACAAAGCAAAAGCTTTTTTGCTACCTTCTTGGAGAACATGATACTATACTGCCACCAATTGGCCTTTTCAAGAAGTCATAGTTTTAAATTTGAAAACAAAGTCCTTTTAAGGCTGTGAATTCTTACAAACAAAAAAGAGTACACCATTAATTTCTTCTTTTTGTAAAAAGAAGTAAAATCTTCCTTACTGTTGATGTAGAATGTTAGTTTTTATCATTATATAGTTGTAACTTTTTTTTTTTTGGTTGGTCGTGGGGCTTGAACTCTGGGCTTGGGCGCTGTCCTTGTGCTCTTCAGCTCAAGGCGAGCGCTCTACTGCTTGAGCCACAGCACCACTTCCAGTTTTCTAGCGGTTTATTGGAGGTAAGAGTCTCACGAACTTTCCTGCCCGGGCTGGCTTTGAACCACGATCCTCAGATCTCAGCCTCCTGAGTAGCTAGGATGACAGGTGTGAGCCATGGGTGCCCAGCTTATGGTTGTAACTTTCATTGTATGCAACTATTTTATAGATTTAAAGCCCAGAACATACCTATTAAGTCTGTATATCTCTTAGGAAAATAATGCTTGTTTCATTTTTATGTTAATTCTCATTGCCTGATTTGTGTGTGTGTGGTGTGTGTATGTGTGCGCGTGCGTGCATGTGGGTGTGTGTGTGTGCACACGTATTTGTGTCTGTACTGAACTCAAGGCTTCACTTAGCTGTTTTGTTCAAGGCTGGTCATCTACCACTTGATTGACACCTCTCCTTCCCACTTTATGCTAGTTATTTAGTGACAAGAGTTGCACAGACTTTACTGCTCAGGCTGGTTTTGAACCAGGATCCTCAGATCTTAGCTTCTTGAGTACCTAGGATTACAGGTGTGAGCTATCAGCACCCAGTTACCACCTGGTGCCTTACCAAAAAAATGTTCTGTTTCATTTTGTTGTCCAAATTTTCCACAGTAACCTCTATGTTTTGTAGTCAGCAGATATCAAAAGGCTATTGGTCAAAGCTTTTTAATTGCATACATAACTTTTATTTTCACACCACTATAATTTCCACCATTGATGTATAAGTTCACTTAGGTGTTTGAATCCAAGATGTAATATCTTTATTTCGTCTTCTTTAATATTGCTAGAGGTATCAGAAATTCTATTCTATGTATGATACATGTTTAAGTATTTAGATAGTTCACCTAACTCTGTTTAGAAGATACTGGCAGGCACAGGGATGGTGCAGTTGTTTCTGTTAATTTCAGCTGATACTTTTTTGCCAGGCTTGAACCCTGAGCCTGAGCTTCTTTTGCTCAAGTCTAGCACTCTACCACTTGAGCCACAGCTCCACTTCCAGCTTTTTCTGTGTATGTGGTACTGAGGAGTCGAACCCAGGGCTTCATGGCATGCTATACAAGCACTCTACCACTGAGCCACATTCCCAGCCCAATTTCAGCTGAATTTAAGAGCAGTATTTCTGAACCATTACGGACATTGTGACTTCTTCTGAATTGAGCCAGTTGAAAATGAGCAGGTGTTTAAATTTTTTCACAATGTTTGTTGTTGCTTTTTTGTTTCTCATTCTGTGTTACCTCTATTAAAAACTATCAAAACCCCAGAATTTTTTTTTATTGTGAAAATACTGTACAGAGGGGTTACAATTACATGGGCAAGATAATGAGTATATTTCTTATCAAGCATTGTTGCCTCCTCCTTTGTTTGCTCTTCCCATCCCTTCCCATTCTTCCCCCCCCACCCCCTCCCAGAATTATTTTTGGTGAGGAAGAAAAAGTGACATTTAGAACAACAGAATAAATACCTATTCTAATTGTAACCCTCAGGTATTAATGTTATTTATTTATTTTATTTTTGTTTTTGTCCAGGGGTTTGAATTCAGCATCTGGGCACTGTCCCTGAGCTCTTTTACTCAAGGCTACTTCTCTACAATTTGAGCCACAGCTCCATTTCAGCTTTTTTTGGTAGTTAATTGGAGATAAGAGTCTCACAGATTTTTCTGCCTGGCTGGCCTCAAACTGCAATTCTCAGCTCCCATCCTGAGTAGTTAGGATTACAGGAATGAGCCACTAATATCTGACAATGTTATTTAATATTTATAATCTTTGTAGAAGCAAATATAAAAGTGATGATGAATATTTCATTGATTTTTTTTGTGCCATTATTGGTTCTTGAACTCAGGGCCTAGACAATGTTTGAGCTTTTTTGCTTGTGGCTAGTGGTCTACCATTTAAGCCACAGTTCAACTTTTGACTTTATGGTAATTAATTAGAAATAAGAGTTCACAACCTGGGTTAGCTTCAAACTGCAGCTCTCAGATCTCAGCCTCCTGAGTAGCTAGAATTTAAGGTGTGAGCCACCAGCATCCAGCTTATGTATGTTTCTTACAATTCTGTATTTTCAGGAAATTTGTTGTCAATTCATAAGTTTGTTTAAATTTATCTAAAAGTAAATTCAACTAGAACATTATGATTTGGGAATCATAAATCTTAGTAGTTGTAAGAGAACCATCTTGGGAATAAGAATTAAAGCAAAGTAGATTTTCTGACAGAATTTTCTGACTATCAGAATTCTTAGATTATTTTTCTAAAGTTTAATTTTGTTTTATAATTGGCATATAGAAGAAAGAATTATATGTGAACTCGTTAATTCTTTTGTTTGTTTATTTTTTCTGTTTGGTCGGTTGGGGGGCTTGAACTCTGGGCCTGGGCACTGTCCCTGCGCCCTTCAGCTCAAGGCTAGTGCCCTACTGCTTGAGCCACAGCGCCACTTCCAGTTTTCTAGTGGTTTATTAGAGATAAGAGTCTCGGGGCTGGGAAGGTGGCTCAGTGGTATAGTGCTTGCCTTGCATGCATGAGGCCCTGGGTTCGATTCCTCAGCACCACATAAGCAGAAAAAAAAAAGCTGGAAGTGGCGCTGTGGCTCATGTGGTACAGCGCTAGCCTTGAGCTGAAGAGCTGAGGGACAGCGCCCAGGCCCAGAGTTCAGGCCCACGACTGGACCCCCCCCCAAAAAAAAAAAAAAAAAGAGTCTCATAGACTTTCCTGCCCAGGCTGGCTTTGAACTGTGATCCTCAGATCTCAGCCTCCTGAGTAGCTAGGATTACAGGTGTGAACCACCGGCACCCAGCTTATCATTAATTCTTTTATGAATTAAGTTAGTAAGTTACAAAGGTGAAAAATGATTGTAATGAGATTAATTTTAGTTGATCTCAAGATTAGTTCATCTCAATTAAGATTGAGATTAATTAAGGTGAAATACTAAAAATGATTCTTGGCCACATACTCTGTAAGGTCCACATTTGTAAATCTCAGGAGGCTGAGGTTCTGAGGAGCCTGATTCAAAGCCAGCTTGAGCAGAAAAAGCCGAGAAAAATCTTACGTTCAATTAACCAGCAAAAAGCTGGAAATGGAGCTTTGGCTCAAATGGTAGAGTACCAAGCTTGAGTTAGAATGCTCAAAGACAGTACCCAGGTCCTGAAATCAAGCCCAAAGACTGACAAAAAAATAAATACATAGATAACATTAATTAGCAAACACAGATAAATGCACACAAATGTTTTAAGATTGTTTTATTCTTTCTGTGTTTAATGAATATTTTATGATAACTAGATTATTGTACAAGTGTATACGATTTAAAATATTTTACCTCAGTTTTATTTTAAAATCTTTTTTTAAATTGTCTCTTTTCTATAGAAAAAGTTACGTCGATCACAACATGCTCGCAAGGAGACAGAGTTCTTAAGGCTCAAGAGGACCAGGCTGGGCTTGGATGATTTTGAGTCTCTGAAAGTTATAGGAAGAGGAGCTTTTGGAGAGGTAAGCTGTTTTTCTTCAAGTTATCATTGTTGAAGGTATGTATCCTAAATGGTTTAAAATGTAATTCTGGGAATGCTACCAAAGGCAAGTTGCTACTTTCTTTAACGGTATCTGCTTTTCACTCTTGAACAAATAGGTGTGACTGTTTTACTTCTATAATATATAGTTTATTTTCTAGGTGAGGCTGGTCCAGAAGAAAGATACAGGCCATATCTATGCAATGAAGATATTAAGAAAAGCTGATATGCTTGAAAAAGAACAGGTATGAGTTCTTTCATATCTACAGTGCAAAGGAACACCACCACAATTAAGTGGGTTTTTTTTTTTGTTTGTTTTTTGTTGGTTGTGGGCTTGAACTCTGGGCCTGGGCACTCTCAGCTCTTCAGCTCAAGGCTAGTGAGTGCTCTACCACTTGAGCCACAGCACCACTTTCGGTTTTCTGGTGGTTTTTTATTGGAGATAAGAGTCTCATGGACTTCCCTGCCTGGGCTGGCTTTCAGCCGTGATCCTCAGATCTCAACCTCCTGAGTAGCTAGGATTACAGGTGTGAGCCACGGGCACCCAGTTTCAATTAAGTGTTTTAGAGTAAGTGCTTATATTGGAATTTTTTAGAAGAAATCAGTTTTTATGTAATCTGTTAAATTTTTTTGCTGTGGTTTTATTGAGAAAAGGTCAAATTATGTTGCTCAGGCTGGCCTGGAACTCAAGATCCTTTTCTCTCCACCTCTCAATGCTAGGATTATAGACACAAACCTACACACCCAATTGTAATCTAATAATTAATTTGTGACAGCTTTCTAATGTAGTGTTTTTCAGTTCTTATTTAAAATGCCTTTTAATTTTGTAATCTGTGCATTAGTCTGCTTGGGGCATTATGACAAAATACCACAAGCTGGGTGGCATAAATAGTAGAAATGTGCTTTCTCATATTGTGGAGACTGGAACTCCAAGGCCAAGGTTGTGGTAGGATTTGGTTCATAATGAGATCTCTCTTCCTGGCTTGAAGATGGCTTCCTTCTCTGAAATCCTCACCTGATCTTTCCAGCAAAAAGAGAGCAAGCACACTCAGAAATTCTGGTATCTCTTCTTAAAGACCCTATTCTCATCCTTATTACCTCATTTAGCCATAATTATTTTCTTAGAGGCCCCATCTCCAAATGAAGTCACCCCAGGATGGAGAGACTCAGTCTATAACATAATGCTTTCTGAAAAAATTTCTTTTTTGAATATACTGAAAATTAGGACCAGGTTTCATTCAGCAGCTTTCAATCCTATCCCATATCAAAGAAGCACAACTTGTTTCCTGAAGATTTGCTAATTGCAAAATCTTTTCACCGGATGCCAGTGGCTCACACCTGTAATCCTAGCTATGAGGAGGCTGAGATCTGTGGATCATGGTTCAAAACTAGCCCTGGCAAGCTGGAGACTCTTATCTCCAATAAACCATCAGAAAATTGGAAGTGGCGCTGTGGCTCAAGCGGTAGAGCACTAGTTTTGAGCTGAAGAGCTGAGGGACAGAACCCAGGCCCAGAGTTCAAGCCCCACAACCAACTCCCACCCCCCCCAAAAAAAAAAAACATCTTTTATGGGTATGTGAGTGTATGTGCTCACACATGTGTTTGTGTGTGCATGTGTGCGTGCATACATGTACTCTTGCCGATACTAGATCTTGAACTCAGGGGCTTGCCTCTCACACAGCCTTTTCAGCTTCAGGCTGGCACTTGAGCCACACCTTCACTTCTGGCTTTTTGCTGATTAATTGTACATCATAAGCATCTCCTAGATTTTCCTGCTCAGGCTTGTTTTGAACTGGTATCCTCCTAAGTATCTAGAATTACAGATGTGAACCACTGGCACCCAGCTTATCAGTCAGATTTTCATCTTTTTTAGGGGGGTCCAGTCGTGGGGCCTGAACTCTGGGCCTGATCACTGTCCCTCAGCTCTTCAGCTCAAGGCTAGCGCTCTACCACTTGAGCCACAGTGCTACTTCTGGCTTTTTTCTTTTTGCTTATGTGGTGCTGAGGAATCGAACCCAGGGCCTCATGCATGCAAAGCAAACGCTCTACAACTGAGCCATCTTCCCAGCCCAGATTTTCATTTAATTACCAAAAAGCCAGAAGTGGAGCTTCTGTGATTGATAGAGTACCAGCCATGAGTGAAACAGCTAAGGGACAGTGCCCAGTTCCTGAGTTCGGGCCCCAGTACAGACACAGCAAAATAAAATGAAATACAAAATTTAAATTAGATTAAAAAATGTTTATATTTTGAAGGAAGAGCTAGCAGAATTTGCTTTGATGGGCTATTGAAGAGGTAGAGAATGAGGAAGAATCTTGAGGGGAAGGAAGAAAAATCAAGGAGAAAGAATTGGGGAAGATAAATTGCCTAGGCAGAGTATAGCTATCTCAACATTTACTGCACTAGGAATAATGCAGTCCTTCTTTAGATGATGTCTTAAGTAATCATATTTTATTACCCTGGAACAGTTTGCAAATGTGTTCTTACATGCTTTTGGTCTGAGTTCATAATGGTGAAAATTTCAAAAGTGAGCCAGGCGCTGTTGGCTTCAAGGCCTGTAATCTGAGGATTACAGAGATCAGAGATCTGAGGATCATTGTTTAAAGCCAGCCCAGGCAGGAAAGTCTGTGAGACTCTTATCTCCAATTAACCACCAGAAAAAGCCAGAAGCAGTCCTGTGGCTCAAGTGGTAGTGGGCTAGCCTTGAGCAAAAGAGCTCAGGGACAGTGCCCAGGCCCAGAGTTCAAGCCTCAGGACTCTCCCTCTTTCCCATCTCCCCGGCAAAAAAGAGAAAATTTCAAAAGCATAAAATCAAATCTTGTTAGCTTGAAGAAAGAATATATAATTCAAAAACATCTGACTCCTGGCCCTTGTGGCTCACACCTATAATCCTAGCTATACAGGAGGCTGAGATCTGAGCATCCCAATTCAAAGCCATCCTAGGCTGATAAATCTAACAGACTCTTAGCTCCAATTAACCAGCAAAAAGCCAGAAGTGGAAGTATGGAATTTCCTGATATTCTCTATTTCATGAGAACATGAACACATGTGTTTCCATTTTTTCCCTAAAATTCCAGATATTACTAGATGGCTAAAAGACAAGCTTTAAAAATGTGTAATGTATTACAGTTTTTTCAATACATTTTCATCTAGGTGGCTCATATCCGAGCAGAAAGAGATATTTTGGTGGAAGCAGATGGTGCCTGGGTGGTGAAGATGTTTTACAGTTTTCAGGACAAGAGGAACCTTTATCTAATCATGGAATTTCTCCCTGGAGGTAAATAACAATGGCATTGATTCTTGTATACATTCCTTCCTCTGAAGGTTTACACAACAGCCATGGTTTCTCAGAATTTACTTCCATAATAATGCTCATTTTTACTCCGAGTCTTTTATTTTGAATGATGAGTTAGGTCAGCACATTTTAAATATACTAGTCTGGATCCATTCTAAGCAAGGTACTATTGTAAATATAGCGTTAAGAAAAATAAGCTAATAAACCAAAAGAGAAAACCCCACTGGGCAAATAATAAATAACATACAGAAGAGATACATTGGTTAGTTGATAGAAGAAATGTTTAAGCTTCTCCAGCATTCAGGAAAATGCAAATTGAAGATGAATAAATCCCATTCCACACTCATCAGATTATCAAAAACTTTATAAACTCTTTATTTTTGCCAGTCCTAGGGCTTGAACTCAGGGCCTGGGCATTGTCCCTGAGCTTCTTTTCCTCAAGCACTCTACCACTTGAGCCACAGAGCCACTTCCACCTCTGTTTATGTGGTACTGAGGAATTGAACCTAGACAAGCAAGCACTTTACCACTAAGCCACATTCCCAGCACTACACACTCCTATGATGCTGAGTATATGTGAGACTGGGGGGGTCACCAGCCTCTTGTAAACTGATTTCTTCTTTTTTTTTTTTTTTTGCTGGTTTTGAGGCTTGAACTCTGGGCTTGGACACTGTCCCAGAGCTTCTTTTGCTCAAGAATAATGCTCTACCGTGTGTCACAGCACCACTTCTGGCATTTTCTGAGTAGTTTATTGGAGATAAGAGTCTCACGGACTTTCCTGCCTAGGCTGGCTTTGAACTGCTGTCCTCAGATCTCAGCCTCCTGAGTAACTAAGATTATTGGCATGAGCCCCCAGTGCCCAGAGATTTCTAACTTTAATGGAGAGAAATCCAATGAAGCTGATAATGCATGTGTCCTACAACCCAGCACTTCACATACATTAGTTATTCCCAGGAGATTTTTCCCAACATGTACAAAAGAGACCTGTAAAAGAAACACTGGGTGCCAATGGCTCACATCTCTAATACTAGCAACACACAAGATTGAGATCCAGAGGACCATGGTTTAAAGCCAGTCTGGACAGAAAAGTCTATGAAACCCCATCTTGAAAATAACTAGCAAGCTTGCACCACTGGCTCACACCTATAATCCTAGCTATTCAGAAGGCTGAGATCTAAGGACAGTGCCTAGACCATGAGTTCAAGCCCCAGGACTGGCAAAGAAAGAAAGAAAGAAAGAAATGAAAGGGAGGGAGGAAGGGAGGGAGAGAGGGAGGAAAGGAAGAAAGCTAGCAAAAAGTTGGACAGAAGCTCAAGTGGAGGAGCACCAGCAGATGTGCTTATAATCAAGAGGCCCTGAGGCCAAACCTAGTGTATTTTAAAAAAATCTAGGAGAGCCAGGGTGCCAGTGGTTCATGCCTATAATACTGGCTACTAAGGAGTCTGAGATCTGAGGATCATGGTTCAAAGCCAGCCCAGACAGAAAAGTCCGTGAGATTCTTTTTTTTTTTTTGTATAAGGGAGAGAGAGAGAGAAAGAGAGAGAGTGTTAGGTTTTTAAAAAGAGAGAGCTGAGTAAGAACTGCAGCAGCACGCATGTGGTATTCAGGTAAGGGGTAGGTTTATTCAGTAGACCTGCTGGGACCAGGCAAGGTTGGCACTCCACGTGGCTGGGAAAGGCCTGGGAATGAGAGAGAGCTGGGAAAGAGAGGAAAGAGCTAGAAAAGAGCAGAGAGAGGGGTAAGAACAGTAGCACTCACGTGGTATTCAGGTAAGGGGTAGGTTTATTCAGTAGACCTGCTGGGACCAGGCAAGGTTTGCACTCCACGTGGCTGGGAAAGAGAGGAAAGAGAGAGGAACGAGCTAGAGCAGAGAGAGAGAGCAGAGAGAGAGCTAGAAAAGGAGAGCAGGAGAGCAGGAGAGCAAGAGAGCAAGAGTCCGTGAGATTCTTATCTCCAATTAACCACCAGAAAACCAGAAGTAGTGCTGTGGCTTAAGTGGTAGAGAGCTAGCCTTG